AATCATGGAACACTTCATCTAAAACTAATGATGTAATGTATGGGGATTAACATAAGAATAAAAAATAAATAAATTAATAATAAAAGAGGAAGGGTAAACCAGTGGGAAAAAGATAACTCGTGTTTCTTGGTCAACCTTGGGAGGTAGAAAAATCAAACCTACCATGAACCTGGGTTGGAAGTAATAGGTCTAAGTAATAGCTTAGAATATGTAATGGTGTTGCTGTGAAGATACTTGTAGGGACATATTCTGGGTGGAGTTAAATCTATAGAACCCTGTATGGAACTGGGAAGAAGGCTTTGGAGATGTTCTCTGGTATATGGAGGTTTCTCCTATAGTCAAACGGAGCAAAATGCATTGATAAGAGTTTGTCCCAAGCAAAACACCTTCTCCTTTCCCCATAATTCCGTGTGTAGAGTGTGGCATCTATTCTTAAAACAAGGCAAACAGTCTCAATGCATTATATCACTAACCTGTCCAAAAATACCTTTAGAATTCCCAAAGGTTCTGAGTGACACATCAGCTTCAAAATGGTCTGGAGTCAGTTTATGTATAAAGCCCATGTGGTCGTAGTACAATGTGAAAATCTTATCGGAAATAGATCCAATTTTACTATATCTTGTTAATCCTATTAGGAAAGAAACAGAAGTTTCTTGATACAGTACAACTAGAGAACTTTCAATACCATACCTTGGGGGGAAAAAAAACCCTTCACTTAAACTAAGGGGTGGGAGGAGGGCTTCGAGACTCCAGAATTAGTAAAACACATATTAGTCTTTGTTAAGTCCCTGGGAAGCCCTTTCCAGGCTGCAACTCATTACAGAATCTGTTTGCTAAGAGGTGAAGGACCGAGGCGGACGAGGTAGAGGCCTAGAGAAGGAGAGGTGAGCGCCCTCTGGTGGCGGCTCCTCTTCCTGATCCAGGAAACCGGACACCTGCATAGGTAGGAGGCAGTAAGAAAATAACCCCCAGAGACGCAAGGAGAATTATCCGCAGAGACCATTAGGTCATTAGCTATCCTAGGATAAATATGTTGAGCCAGATTTGGTGTTCTGTGTTTCTCTCATGCCTTAGGGCAACATGTTAACAGGACTGGCAGTAATCTGGTAGTACATACAACAAGCATGCACTGAACCAGACACTGGTCCCGAGAGAGAGCCACCTCCCCTGACTGGAGCCAGAGAAAAAGCTCACGTCTTGAGATGCAAAAGGCTGATTTCCACACCCCCACCCCAATTTGGCCAGACTCTCCTGGTCTATTCTTCTGTCCCTGACCCCTGAACATTGGAGCACCCTAGGACTCAATTTTTCGATCTCTTCTCTCACGATCTCTGGAGATCTCACCCATTTTTATGTGAATGATTCACAAATTTAAACCTCCTCTCTCATCCAGATTTGCATATCTAGCCTCCTGCTGACAGCTCCAGATCCATGGCTGTCAGGCATCTCACACCAAACTCATCCCAGACTGAGTTGCCAATCCCCAGGCAAACTCCTCCACCCTAGTCTTCCTCATCTCCATCACAGCAATTGCCATTTTTCCTGTTGCTCAGTCCAAAACCTTGGTGTCATTCTTAACTCCCCTCTTTCTCTCACACCCTACATCTGATCCATCAGCAAATCCTACTGACTCCCCCTCAAGATAGAGAACCCAACTTCTTCTCACCACTTCTTCCTGTCACCCTGCACAAGCCAGTATGATATGGGAAGAGGTTTATTATGAGGAATTAGCTCATGCAAGCATGGAGGCTGAGTAGTCCTGTGATCTGCTGTCTATAAGCCCGAGAACCGGGGGACTGGCTGGCGGGAACTCCCAGTCTGAGGACAAAGACATGAGAACCGAGAACCAGAAAGACGACTGGTTTAAGTCCCAGTCCAACGACAGGAGAAGACTGATGTCCCAGCTCACAAGCAGGCAGGAAGTAAACAGGGTGAATTCCACTTTCCTTCACCCTTTCGTTCTACTCAGGCCCTCGAGAGATTGGATGATGCTCACCCACACTGGGAGGGCAGTCTGCTTTACAGAGCCCATTGATTAAAATGCTAATCTCATCTGGACACAGACACATTCAGAAATCATGTTTCCTCTGGGTACCCCTTGGCCCAGATAAGTTGACTCATAAAATGAACCATTATAATTGCTGTGGTTCAATATGCCACAGTTCATCTGTAAACATACAATACACTTTTTTCACATTTTAACTTTTATAATTGCTGTGTCTTGCAATCACTGTCCACCAGGTGGCACCCACGCTACAGTGGTCAATTTGCTACACTTGCATGACTTGGTTATCAGCTCTGTATTGTCTGTCGCTTGGAGTTTCCTGAAACACTAGTATAATAAATGTTGAATTTTATTGATGTTTAAAATGCCTTCAAAAATATTATAATTTGGGACGCCTGGGTGGCTCAGTCCGTTAAGCGTCTGCCTTCGGCTCAGGTCATGATCCCGGGGTCCTGGGATCGGGTCCCGCATGCGGCTCATTGCTCAGTGGGGAGCCCGCTTCTCCCTCT